CAGCTCACCAAATTTTACAACCTAGATTGTTATATTAGTACATGCATAAATCGGAAGTCGTTTTCACGTTAATTTGAACTACTTATCAAAAGTGTGACATATATATATATATATATATATATATATATACAAATATAAATATATACGGCGATTGCTCAACAAATATGTAGGAGAAAACGGAAATGGATCGGGCATACTTTGAGGAGGCTGTCGAATGACATCGCGCATCAGCCAGGCCATTGCTCGAGTGGGTCATCCGAGGGTGACCTGGAGGAGATCGTGTGGTGAGGAGGAGATGAGAGATTACGGGCAATCGTGGACTCAGGTGAATAGGACAGAAGAACTCAGACCAAAGCGAAGATATGTTGTTGAAGGCTTATGTTCCACTCGGAACCCAAGGGAACAATAATAATAATATACATATATAACTAATTAGTTAGTCTTATTAGACCCCCAGGAATACTCTGCACCGATAAGAAGACTCTAGAAGATTTCGATTTCGCAGATGATTTGTGTTTAATGACAAAAAATCCAAAGAATTGCAGGGGACAACCAATAAACTGGCTGAAGAAGCAGCCAGAGAAGACAGGATTCCAGGTGAACACAGACAAAACAGAGTTGATGAAAGTAATCAACCCACAATCACAACCAGCACTATTCACTATCAATGGTAAAATTGTGAAAGAGGCCTTTTCCTTCAATTATCTAGGAAGTATCGTTTCAACCACAGACAGCCAAAACGTATGAAAATGTCAAAGTCAGATTCAGAAAGGCAACATACATCTTCATCAATCTGAAATCAGTTTGAAAATCCTTCACATTCAGCACAACAAAAAAACAGAGTTCTAATTTTCAACACAATTTGTGAATTCAGTTCTTCTATATGAGTCAGAAATTTGGTGCATGCGTCACAAAAAGCATTTCCAACAGGCTACTACTGCAGACTTTTATCAACAACAACTTTGCTGCACAGCACACTGAAGATCAAATGGCCAGTTGAAAGAATGAGCAACAAGAAACTCTGGAAACGAATCAACTAAGAACACCTACTGCTCAACAAATATCCTGGAGAAAATTAAGATGCAATGGACATACGCTGAGGAGACCGTCGAATGACATCGCGCGCCAGCCAGGCAATTGCTCGAGTGGAATCCCAATGGGAAGCGATTAGCGGGTGACAAGGAGAAGGTCGTTTGAAGCGGAGGAGACGAGAGATTATGGGCGATAATGGGGCCAGCTAAAGAGAGCAAAAAATAGAACAAAGTGGAAATGTGTTGTTGAAGGCTTATATTGCACTCGGAACCCAATGGAACAATAATAGTAATAACAACTAATTAGTACGAAAATTTAAAACCCAATCATAACTATGTAATCTACAGTGTTATGCAAGAATAGAATGCCTGGCAAAAGTAGAAATGGCAGCCCGCTGAGTATTTCGATATGATAAAATACTCATGCTTTAAATATATTGAGTTGTACTATTTCTTTGTCTTTTTAAATTGTAATAACAATGGAAAAAAAATATTTTGCACTTTATGTAACGGTGCGTTACCCGGTGTGAAACGTTTACTTTTCAACAAACACTTTCTAAAAACAGTTTTGCAGTGTTTAACAGATTCTTTTCTTGTTCAATTAAACTCTGCGTTAAGTGGAAGCTCATAAATACTTACAAACAGCATGAAGTACACCAACTTTATTACTATCCTAATGCATGTTTAACAAATACTTAAAATGAACACTTCTCTACTTCAGTGATTCTTTTTTATGCTGACAGTTAACAGTCTTAGTGAATAAAACGGATGTTCTTAATTAATTCAATTGAGACTTCCCTGTTGATTGATTGGTTGATTGATTGGACTGAAGTTCTCGGCCTCAGGTTGACGTGTCAGAGCCTTTTGCAGTTGCCTCCCAACGATGTCTGATTATTTCACTTGAAGTAATTTAGTGGATGTGACTAGCTGTGGAGTCGAGAATAACGCGCATTTCGTCCTATTTGGGAGTTGTCAGCCAGCTGGATGTACTTGCACTCTTCAGTGAGTGAGTGGATGATGTTGTTCCTACGCTTTGGGGTTTGAAACTGTGGACGTTGGGTTCGAGCGTCAGTGGGAACATTATCACTCACCGGGGAAGGCAGGTACACCTAGCTAGCTGACGAGCTCCCTCGGTTCCACAGCTACTCACCATCCACTAACATGGGTGTTTTACTGTGTAGGGTTCCACGTCATTTTATCCCACTGTCGAATTTTATTGCATTAAGACAAATTACTTCCCAGTCTACTAACTTGTACAACTTTACATATTACACATCATAGTTATCTTCCTTAATATCTCCCTAATCATGGGTAAGATAAAAGTGGCACCAGTAAAAAAAGGCTTACTATTGTTGTCTAAGAGCTCCAGTTAGTAAACATCTGGCTCACTAGCATAAGCACTCAGTTTCCGATCAACGGGTCTCCTATAATGTGGCGCATAGTCTACTACTTGAAAAATCTATTCAGCGTAATTCAGTTTAAACAAACAAACCAACAACCACTCTGGCTACTAAGACCAAACATTTCAAAATAGCTTGAGAGGTTAATAACCACTTTCGCAATTCCTATATCTACCGACAACCTTTCAGATGTTCAACTGTATGCCATACAAAAGCTGCAAGATATACACAGATCTAACTACTGTAGAATTCCACCTTTCCATCAAAAACTGTAGCTTTTTAACACTAATCTCTCAATACTGTAATATCATATTTATTTCTTTTCCCGTTTGTCTACATTGTTTTCCAAGTTAATGCTTCTTAACTGAGGCTGATGCAAAAAAAAATATAGGTGCAACCCACCACAGATGTTGGTAAGAAGAGTAACATGCAGCTGTCAAATTGGAATGCACACGTTGGTATTATTCAATATCGCTTAATTCACGAGATGTAGAGATTGAAATCTTGTGTCACTGATAAGTACAGCTTTTTAATATACCTGTGGTAGGTTGGTAAGTTCTTATTGTTAAGAAGCTTCAACCGAAACTAAAACACATGTTTAGCGTACTACGGTTTCCACTGCTTCTCTGTCGCAAGAGAATTAGTGGTAAAGATTACTTTAAAATCTGTTAATTTTCACAAAATCCCAACTATTAGCTCTCTTTCATATAACCAAAGATCTCTAGAAAACAGCAGTAGACAAAGGCAGTTTTAAACCATCTATTAATGAAAATAGTCTCCTCTGCTTTACGTTAGGCAGTATTTCACGGTATTTCATTTTTTGAAATATATGTTATTATACAGCAACCACAGAGAGTGGTTTCAATTGCTCTTTTCAGCTATCACACACTGATGATTCTATGACATAAAAAGAAAACGGAATGGTTGACAACTTATACTTTTTAAAGTTTAGTTACTATCTAAGGGACTAGGCAGAGTAAGGCTTGCTTGTTTGAAATATTTACTTGGGAAAACGATTTCTTCTATATAAAGTTTTGCATGAATATGAGCCTGTTCAAAAGACTTACGCAATTTGAATAATACTGAAGAAAACAAATGTTCACATACTTTCGGCAAAACGTAAAACTTTCGAAGAAAAGCGTAAGCAGACCAACATAGAGTCTAGTAATGTTATTAACATGTTTATCGGAAATCAGAGAAGGTGATACGGTGTAGAATGAACCCTGCTGATTCAGGGTCACTGTGAATGTGTTGGCACTTATTCCTTCCATCCAAATACAACCTCAAGTACACAAAAGACGAGTAAAATCCCTTAAATATGAGTGACATTTATCAGTCACAACTTTGCGTCGTGCGATGAGCTCTCATACAACGTGTTCATGATGAAGAGAAAAGTGTCAATTATTTCAACGACCCAAATGCTACCTCTGTACCCATCTGAAAATTTATTCTTATCAATTGAAACTAACAAAAACGTTCTAGCATTTTTCGTCTGCACGTCTAACGATTAAAAGGTACCTGATACACGGATTGCACATTCATCGCAAATTTCAGTGAAACAATAAACGCAATATGAAAAATTTGGACATTGGCTCCTGCTAAAAGGTAGTTTAAGTATAGAGGCAGAGTTTTCTCTCGAAAAAACTCAGATTAAATTACAGGAGACTCACAAGGTGCCTTCCACTTACGAATACCATGTTTTACGGTATAGCATATTACAGCTAATAACTATATGCAGAGAAAGTGATGGAGATAAAGAGATGAAAACAGTAAAAATATCTTAAGCAGTCATCGGTTTAAAAACCAACAACCAGAAATGATTTCAAAAAGCCACGTCATGAGAAGAAGTAAACGGAACGCTGTGTAACATTCCTCTGAAAAAGTCAACTGGAATACAGTGGCGTTTTCGTTATGCACAGTTTAAATTCTCCAATGATTTCATCAGTTATATTACTGTTAAATTTGTTTCAAATCACAAACAGTAGAAATGAACATGACGTGGTCGCTATTTTTGCCCTACCCGACTAGTCAGAAGGTACTTGAAGTATACGTTTCCCTACGTGTTTGATGACATATTCGAAACATAGGCACACACCAGCTAAAACTAACCTGAATCGCAATCATGCTTACCTGACGACAGGACTTTGGGGTATATGTCAGCTGAGAATTAAACCCATAAAGTTGCATATAGTTAAAATTTTCACGGAGAGTACCTCTCAGCCAATATTTCAGTAGATCAGATATAACATATATCAAACTTATCTGAAAAATTCAAAATATTTTACTAATCCATTATCGCCTTGAAATAATGCGGTTCAGAAATAGGTTTTCTGTGGTCACATATATTGCCAGCTTATCGTTACACAAAAACCAAAGCCAACTTTGGCTAAATTTCGCAAAATTAATATATAAAAGGCCATTACGTAAAAGGGATAAAGCAGCTGTGAAGTCATTTAAAATCCACTGAGATGTTTAGAATCCCTATAGTCGGCATATACTTAATAAATTAACGAACTAATTAAATCAGCTATTCAGCTAATAACTCAGTATTGCTATCTGAGCAACATACCTTTTATAATACAGGATGCTACTGACAGGAATCTATCAGTGTCAATGTCATACTTTTCATTTGGCTTGAGGACCATTGAATCACTGTCTTCACGAAATATACGATCAGCGTAAATTATAAGTCCAAGGTTTTGAATTGAAAACGAAAAATTAAGCAGCTGTCGACAATGTTTCCTCTGATAGAAAGACCCAAAAATAAATGCCTAAACCCCTTTGGAAAACTGCTTGGTAATGACCTTAGATGGTTGACTAATTCGATCCAGATAAACAAATATTTATTATGTCTATCACTCGATAGATACAGAGTCGTCCTAAGATATTTCGGTGATAATATGTGGGGGAAATATTTAACAGGCAATGTGGAATGTTTTGATCAATACACCGGAGGGCTAACTAGTGAAAGGATCAGTTGCATTCACGGTGGCAACACGGTCTTAACACCCGGCGTACTACAAACAACATATAATTCATCCAAACACCACTCCTTTTATAGTCAACCAAAGCTGTGACAGTCGAGTGGCGGGACGAACTACGCAGAAGTTTACTGAAGACCAGGAACCTTCATCTCACAACCAAGAAGTGAGCACAAAGAAATCGAATTGGCCTACACTATTTCGTAAAAACTATTTTGAATATTGGAAGTCATCCAATAAGTTCTCACTCATAGATGTGCTACTGCAATTCTGATTATAATAAGAATGTCATTTCGTGTTCCGGTAGTTAAGCGAACTTTGCAGTCAGATTCTTCAAGTAAATGTGTGTAAAACAAACCCATGTTGTCCACAATGATATTTCACTGTCTTTTCTATTTTAGAGGACAAAAGCCTTTTGAAGTAAATCCCTGAAGTGGAGCTCGTTCACCTAAAAAATTCAACTAGGAACAATGCTATTGCTCTTCACAGGATCATCCACCATCCTGTTCACATGGTCATTCGAATATTTATCCGGGCTTACAAAAGTGAATGGAGATGCTAATCCCAACGTGGTCATCCCTTTGGAACAATAACTGTACACGTATAATTGTCGAAGGATTTATTTGGATGAAGGATATAAAGTGGACGAATTGGTTGCCGCGAAACGTGTGAAGATTCAGCCAACTTCACAAGCTTCTTGGAGCTGCTATATTTTTCGTACGTGGCACTGCTGACTGCTATAGCCACAGTTTATGCAGCAGTTATTCCCAGTAGAACGTTTAGCAACAACTGTAGGTCCTACTTTACACTGAAAAATTTACTTGATTTGGCTCATAAGGCGCAGTCATTATCACTTTCAACATTTCAAGATGTCCAGTCTCAACTAACACGAACCCAGATTAAAGTTTCATGTGCATTTCACCCCTTTATAATTTAGGCTAGCAGCATTCACTCTACAGTTTCTGACCACGCGCATTTAAAGCCTAATACTCATTCACCTACAGGTATTACTAGTCATAAAATAACCCCTGTTGATACCACAAACGTCACAAGGCCAATAGCTCGCTAGATTTCTAGCCGGTCCCAAGCCTGGGTAAAGAGAGAGGGTTGGGCGTGAGGCTAGCAACCCCACATCACTAAACCTATCAAACCGCTAGAGAAACTTCGACACAGAAAATAATAAAAACGCAGAAAATTCAAAAAAGATCTTATTCTTCTCTTGAATCGGAGAGGCGAAATGAAACAGTGGGCTGGTGAAAACCTCCAGGAAGCCGGTCAGCCAATGTCTTCTCTCGATGAAAGCAAGAATAAGAGTGGGGACGTGGATTGTTCGTACAATGTACGAGGCTGGCTGGAAGGGCTTCCCGGGTAGCCAAAGAGGTGCAAAGATATGGCTTAGAAGTACCGGGTATCTGCGGAGGCAGATGGAATGGATGTGGATTGACAACATTGTCAACTGGAGAGTCAGTAATCTACTCCGGTTACCCACGCGAAAACCACGAACACTCCGAGGTATTCAGTGGCTATAATGATGTTACCACTGGCAGCCAGAGCCCTAGCACAGTGGGAACCAGTCTTATCCAGGATCATGGCAGCAAGATTCGGCTCAAAAGGAAGGAGGGAAGGTCACAATTATACAGTGCTACAAACAACTACAAACAGTAATGGACAGCACCCCAAATGGTGACATCAAAATCCTCATGGGTAAAATGAATGCAAGCCGAACTGGGAGCAGACAACACCACGGAGGGAGAACTCATCATGGGTCGAAAGATTCTCACTCGGAGAAATGAACGAGAACGAAGAATTATTCGCAGACTTCTGCTCTTTCAGCGATTTGATGATCGGAGGGAACGTATACAAACACAACGATATATACACAAAGCAACATGGACTTCACCTGACGGACATACCACAAACCAGATAGATTTCATCCCAATGCTACTCAAGGAAGAGATTTGTCAGAGGTTACCTCCTTCACTTGTCTAAGAAGCCAGCATCGTTTCAACTACAGGTGGTTGGCACGGATGAAGATGTTAGAGCCAGTCGGAATCAGAAAGGCAAAACACGCCCTCATCAACCTGAAACCAATTTGGAAATCTTCCGCACTTGGCACGAGGAACAAGATTCGCATTTTCAACACCAATGTCGAGTCGGTCCTTCTACGCGGGTCGGAAACTTGCACTGCGTGTAATGAAAAGGATTTCCAACAGGTTGCGAACTTTCATTAACAGCTGCTATTGCTGGCTTAATGCTGAAGATCAAGTGGCCAGAAAGAATAAGCAACAAGAGACTACGTGAACAAACCAACCAAAAGCCTATTGTTCAACAAATGTTTAGGAGAAGATGGAGATGGATTGATCGGGCATACATTGAAGAGGCCGCCGAATGACATCACACGTCAGGCTCTCGAGTGGAATCCAAATGGGAATCGATGAGTTGGTAGTCGGTGCAAGGATGACATGGAGGAGATCGTGTGAGAATGAGATGCGAGATTGTTGGAAGCTGTGGTTTAGGGTGGAATGGACGGCGGAAATCAGAAGAAGGTGGAGATATGTCGTTGAGGCCGTATGTCCGACTTGGAACTCAAAGGAACAATAATAGCAAAACACGATAGTTATTTCAGGAAAAGAAACGAGGGGCCTTAAAATGACAGAAATCAGCACGACTACGTCTTAAATGGTTCGGTCAGTCAACAGCGTAATGTCGCCATAGAAAATCGACTAAAACATGGAAGTTTAGCCCGCACTGCTGGATGAAGAATGCTGCAGGCTAATAATTTCTGGGAATTATTCGCCCATTATGTACTATGTGGAAATCTTTCCTGAAGTCCATAAAAGTGGAGTGGAAGCATTTTTTGTTGTCTTTTGACTTCGCCCAACTTTTTACTATTATAAGAATGTCTTACACGTTGGCCTTCTTCAAAATGCCATCGAGCATTGCTTCCATTATAGTTGTAAAGAAGATATTGAACGTGGAGTCGCCGAATGTTGGCAAGAAAAAGAGCAGGAAGAAGAGTTATGCCGTCTGCATCTACGAGGTCCTCTGCCAGATTCACCTTGACTTTTATATGGCATCGATCATTGGTACATTGCTTCGCTGCGAGATGTGATGAAATGATGGCCGATCTTCCACTGAGAAGTTGCTATGAATTCGGATTTCGGAACTAGTCTAACTCTACTAAAGGTCCACTGTTATGTTATCACCTCATAAGAAAACTGATAATGTTGCGCAACACTTAGCTGACCAGGTTTATTTAAAAATGTTGGTTGAATAGATTATAAGTTGCCAGTATCGCTATCGGGAATTATTGCCGCTGTCAGATGACTATCCGGAACGAAGGACAATAGTTAGATACTAAATAACCCAACGGACTTCAGTGTGATAGATAATAAAGTACTGACCGGAATGTCAAAAACTTACTACTCAACCAGCAAACAAATAAACATACTGAAGTTAGTTATACAACAGTTTAATCATCGAGTTCACAGCTGTTTAATATAAAGACACTGAGAAAAAGTTCACGGATAATAATATTTTATGTTTTGTGTTAACAGAATAGTTTATATAAAATACATGCGATTCTTACAGCCATTACCAAACGTGATGTCAATTAAAATCGTGAAATATTACTAAGTTAGCACTGTTTTATTAGTTTAAACAGTTGAATTATAATGTAAGCAATCAGAACAGGTCTATATGAACGCTAAATTATAAAGCCTTCTCTGCGGTTGCCATCATTAACTATGACCTCTTCGATGAAAATATACCTTTTCACAAACGTCAATATGATATATATTGATTCATGTGTCCGCATTGATCTGGACTTCTGAGAACCGGTGAACATCAAAGCCGCGGAAGGGATTGCCACCCATAAAGGAAATCAGACATGTCTTCGGTGTTTGCCGACAATAACAGAACGGACGTGAATTTTAGAGACACAGAGAAGATGTGCATATTGTGAGTGCTGAACTTCATAATTTGCCCCTGTTATTTTCTACGGACAGATTTTAGTCCTGTTTACCATTTGGGTTGGATACTGGTCAATATGTTAGAAATTTATTAGTTTATGGAATCGGGTCTTATTTTTGTCGCCTATACCACAGCAGTACAACTAATTGTGCGACTCCGTTGTCAATGACTTACTGAATGTGACTGCTTGATAATACATAGAAAGATAAGAATGCTTAGAGTGAAATAATCCCTCACGTAAAACAAGTCTTGTAGCATCGGAGTATGTACAAAGGTGCCGAAAAAATGAAGCTAAAGAGACGCTGGTGTCGTGAGTAACTTGAATGTACAATCTAATTAGCTCCACTTTTGGCTGCTAAATTGTACAAAGTATACATATATATGCAAAAAGTATACCCATAAGAAGGGTAGTTTTCCCCTGTTGAAGCAGTAGACGACTGAGGCACGAGAGCTTATCTTATTTGGAAAGATTGTGAGACGGCCGAGCCTCAAATGAAGACTCAGCAGAAATGCCGGACAAAAGAGTAGCTCAGAAAAATTGTATTTAACTGTTAGCTCACCTTTAGATATGTCATTCGTGGAGTTATCTAAGGAGAGTGCTACATATTTTGCTTTCCAAATGTTATTTGTGGGTCCGTGGTGTCTCGATGAACACTGGTCTTGTCTACGACTGCTTTTGAGTACACAACGTATTTACGGAGTGATTTCAGTGCAGCGGTAACAGCTGGAAAACATGATGTATATACTATCAACTTTCATAAAGCAGTATAAAATCTGTGCGAATCTTCACAATTCTGAGATCAGCACCTAACGTTTTTGTGATACGCTTCTCGTTTCAGAACGCCGGATAGAAAACCATCT